TAAACCACACTCCGCCCGACCACTTAATCAGTGACGTGAGCTCGGAAAACTGTCAGCTGCAGTTTCCGCTGCAGCAACCACAGCAAACCACACGTGTGACAGCGGACCACAAAACACAACCACTGTGCAAAAGGCGATTAAAGACATTTCAATTTAATTGGTCATTTTCCATACACAGGAAAAATAACAATAATCTAACCTTCGGGCTTGACAAAGAGTTGCCCCAATTTTGTTTCTCAGATCCCTTTGTTCTTAGAAGGCAAAAAAAATAACTTGAAAAACTAAAATAATCGCAAACATTTGATTAAAGTTTTCTGTTTATTTGTAAGTTTACTTACTAAGAATAAATACACAAAAAAAGATAGGTAGATAGGTAAAACAATATTTTAAGTTCCATGTTTTAAGCCGTTTGTCTATAATATAAAATCGTTCATCAAGAAAACACATTAACAATGATAGTATTATTTATTTGTTTTTATACCCGTTACTCGTAGAGTAAAAGGGTATATTGTATTCGTGCAAAAGTATGTAACAGCTAGAATGAAGCGTTTCCGACCCTATAAAGTATATATATTCTTGATCAGGGTCACTAGCCGAGTCGATATAGCCATGTCCGTCTGTCTGTCCGTCTGTCTGTCCGTATGAACGCTGAGATCTCGGAAACTATAAAAGCTAGAAGATTGGTATTTTGCATGCAGATTCTAGGAACTCCTACGCAGCGCAAGTTTGTTTCAAAAAGGTGCCACGCCCCCTTTAACGCCCACAATCGCTTATATACGATTTTAAAAATTTAAATATTTCGGAAAAGTAAAAATGCAGTTTTATTGTGTTTATCAATACCCATCGAAATGTAGAAGAAATTTTTCGGACCATTTGTTAAAAAGTTATGCGTGATCAAAGTTTCTATCTCCATCTCCCTCGCACTCCCTTTACCTGAGTAACGGGTATCTGATAGTCGGGGCACCTCTATTAGAGGACTTTTCAGTTTAAATCATTGATATTTGTGTGTACCAGAGCAATTATTTATACCATAATTTATTTCGCATTTTTGCTTGCACAATATTTTTGCCATTGTCAATTAAGTGCTTGTGGCTGGATTCCTCGAAAATATTAAATTTAATTTAATAAAATATGACAGATATATGAGCCACTCGAAAAGGCTCTACCACAAGTTTGCCAATTAAAAGCGATTTATTTGCAATGGAAACAAATTGTTTAGCCTGGGAAATCGCCAAATTCCGCGCGAAAAGCCAGCAAAAGTTTTCAGCTCTCGTCACACCGCCACTCCCAGGGATGTAATTAATTTGCAACATGCAGAGAGCTCCTGCTCCTCGGCTTCTGCATATGCAAAACTTTGGTGGTGCGGCTGCTGCCTGGCTGCAGAAACTTTGTGTCTGCTAAATTGAATCAAATTTGCCGCCTACGACTATAGTAGCCCTCGGCGCGACTCGCCAAATTGCAGTTAATGAAATCTGCAATTGAAATGAGGTCCTGCAAGGACGATGGCGCTTTCCGGTGGTATTCACTTAAAATGATTACAGAAATGTCACAATATTTTTTATTTTCATTATTGCAGCTCTTGTGAAGTTTCACATTTATTCAGAAAAAAGAAAATTTGGAATAAGTTATTTAAACCTTTAAAACTTTGAATTTTTTCTCTGTGTCAAATTTTTTCTGGCTGTGAGTAATAGCTTAGTCTTTTTTTGGTAACCAAAAGTTTTATGTTTCCAGTGCGGGATGAGTTGTGAGTGAAATTCTAGTCTGCAGTTTGCTCACTAAGCTGGCAGCTGCCAACTGCAGTTTCAGTCAAATAAAAATGGCAGCAACATAAACCGAAATAAGAGCCGGTGAAAAGCCAACAGAGCTATGAAAGCTTTTATCCATATATTTATTGCCATCTATTAGTATATATGCCAAAATGTATGTACTTAAATTGAAAATGAATTGCTTTTTAGGTAACTCAAGTTCTTGGCTCCAGTCCTGTGCTCCCTGGTTCTAAGTTCGTTTCAATAGGTGGTTTCTTTTCATCATGGAATTTCTCCTTCCCGCTGCCTGTTGCTTTTTGAGGCATTTTCAGCAAAAATCTTTTGGGTTTTGGGGTGCTTAGGTGCGAAATGTTGGCAAAGAGCTCGCCATGAATAATAGAAACTGGATGGGGCGTTGACGGCTTTAGCTAAAATGTTGGCCCTGCCAAAAAGGATAAGTGATTCCGAGTTTTCCACTTTCAATTTCACCTGTGGCCAATGGTCAGTCAGGGGAATTCTCTCGACATCAAAATGTTTTAATAATAGTTGTGAAGGCTTTCTGTTTTTACAATCAATCTAGAGTATTTTATTTCTGCATATCTTTTAACAAAACAATCAATCATTTTCTAATGACAGGATTCTAATGCTCATTTAATACTGTGTCTCTGCCCAATTAATTTCTGGGCTTATTAAATATTAAAGTACTGAATTTGATGGCTGACAGCCAAGAAGTTTGGTAAAACTTGATTTTGTTTAAGGCGGCATTTTCCTCTCGGTAGGTCAAGAACCTCGCACTAGAAGCAACAGAACGCAAATTACACGCTTACAACAAAGGGCAAACGTCGAAAAGCTAAATTAAGCCAAATACCCCAGAGTGGACCGATGTTGTATGCAAATTTAATATCACTTGCTGTAAATTAAAAAAAAAAACTCTTATTCTTTATCATTTGTGGAATAATAGTTTACTACTTTTTTTTTAATCAAAAGGGTATCGTGAAAAAAAAGTTTTAGGATAATTTTACAAATCAAAAAATTTATCATTTTATTATTATTTTTAGTACTACTAGTAGTATACTATTTGTATATTCAGTAAATAAAAACTATGTAGTAACCTTAAGCATTCCATTGCACGTTAATTATAGAATTCATATTTGCCGTAACGACTATTTTATAAACATCATAATTTAGGCTAGAGGTCCACCCTAATGTACACGTGGATATTTGGAAAGTGAAGGCGGTGCGTCATATCCGTTTTGGCTCGGAATATTTTTTTACGGTTCGCGTGAAGAAAAGCTTTAGCGAATTGGGAACTGAGTATTATGTTCACATGTAGGAGGAGTAAACAATTGAGTGACTTATTACTCGGTATTATCCTCTGGCTTAGTTCGCCCCGGAGCTCGAGTACCCGTCACCAGGCAGGCATCGATTTTGTTCCCTCGGTTAATGGTATTCCATGGGCGACAGCAAACATGAAAACAATACTAAATACAGCCATTGTTCATATTTCTAGTTGACTGTCTGTCTGCGTCCCGAGTATCCTGTCTGTCTGCCTGGATATGTGTGTGTGACTGTGGCAGTTGCCCATAGTTACGCAGGACCCCAACAACAGAAAGACAGCGCGTTCCAGTTAAGCAGGAGTCCAGGAGAAGTCTTTATTAATCCTTTGTGTATTTTTAGCGGCCACTTTATGAGTTGACGGCCATATATCTTCCTGTTGATTTATGCCAAGTGTAAATTGGCTCCAGCGCTCCCTCTTTTTGTGCTACATTTTCTTTTATATGCCAGAAATAAATTTGTGTTTACTTTAACTTGAGAAAATGTCCCAAACGAATGTTCAGAGAGATTAATGGTGTATGCCAACACTTTTCCAGAAAACGAGCTTTCCTAACTGAATTAATATTTTTTACTTTTCCTTTAGCTACTCGTAAATGCGAATATAAAAGAGGTAAATGAAAATTTACTAACAATCTTCGGCGAATGTCTAAAAAAAACTTTAAAATGGCAATACAAAAATGTATCATACCTTAAAAATTGTGTTCTATGTTTGTTTTTAATTATAACTCAAATTCGATCAAACGAAAAGGCGGAAAATAAAATATTATCCAACAATTGCACTTGTAATTCGTGGCATTATGCTTTCATGATGTCCTTCCATTAAGGAGCTTCGGAAAGCTAGGAATAGCTTCTTAATGTTTCATAAGCCATCACGGCACGAAATCGAATGGAAACCCAGAACTCCCAATAAGTGGCAACCAAAATCGCCCACATCGAAGGGCTTCGATTTATGTCCTAGTGGGTGCTAGAAGGTTCGGGTGAGGAGTTTCGTGCCACCCAACATAATTGGGGCCAATGACAATCCTATCGGGCTGCAGCGACTGCAATACCAAAGCTGGGTTTCGATTTTGACGCCGTTGCCCGGACAACAGACGGCCAGGTGGCCACGAAGAATTGGGCACAACAAAACCATTCGGAAAAGGCGTTAAGGCACTTGGGTGTTGGGTGTTGGGAGGGCGGCACATTTAGAGCGGTCAGATTTGAGGGCAAAAAGTGAACAAAGTGACTGGGAATGTCGGCTGATGGCCCCCTTCGGCTGGTGTTGATTGCTCTGTGCTGCCGAATTGTTCCAAGAAAGGATACGTTTTTGTTTTTTTCTCAGAGTTTTACGATTCGTCTGGTAATGAAAACAGAACCACAAAAATGGCATTGCTGACATGACTTGACCCCGAGGAAAACGGTTTAAAAATGTTGTAGCCTTAAAGTAAATTTTTAATATTATTCGGGGAGCCCCAGCTAATCATAGCATTTAAATGTTTTCTACTTGGCCACGAAAGTTTGGTTTCAAAATGCGATTTAAAAAAAATTTATTTAGAGGAAAATATTTCATCAAATCGTGTTGTTAAACAAAAGGAAAGTCAATTGATGAATCTAAGTAAATTTAAGTACATGGTGGAAGTTTTGTCGATAGATATAAATATTGTGCCCGTATTGAAAGAGTAAAGTACAATTCTTAAATTTAAAACGTAGTTTTGAAAAATATATTTATTTTATCAAAAATGTAGGTTGTAAATTTATTGAAAATACAGAATTAAAAAAGGCTATAAATTGTATAAAGACCGAAATTAGATTTATACATATGTACATAGGAGGTGTTATCGTTATCTTTTGAATGTCAATCATAACTCGTTATCTTTTCGTATAAGCTTTTATATTTAGCTTTCGCTAAAGCATTTTTTCAGTTGTAACCAATCTATCATAGGAATAGTTAGTAAGTCGCTCCTCAGCGAAGTAAAAAATGAATTGCATAAATGCTTATATAGTCCTTGTGTCTATTGGCCTATGCATATCGGCAGAAAATTCCGATCCTTTAACCTCTATACAGATACAAGAGGTAAGCTGAACCATTTACATTAATCAGCACATTCTTTAGTTGTACATCCCACCAGAAAATCAAGACAACGACGGATACCCTAACCTCTATTGATAAGCTTTTGCTTGAGTAAGTATGAAAAATTCGTGTGACTCTAGGATAATCGCCATCTTTTTCTTAGCTTGGAGGCTCGTCGAGAGTCCTTACAGCAGATGAAGGAATCTTTTAGCCAAGAAAGGGCCGACATCTACCCCACTTCCTGCCTGTCTACGTACAACCAAAACCGCTCAAGTCTTATGGTGCAGGTCCCGGGGCACTCTGCTTTCCAGGTTGCCTGCGATACTTCCCAGTTGGCCGGACTGGGCTGGTTGGTCATTCAGAGGCGCAAGAGCGGCAAGGTTAATTTTTATCGCGATTGGAGTGAATATAAGACGGGATTCGGGTACGAGGAAGACGACTATTTCATAGGCCTGGAGAAGCTGCATTGGCTAACGGCCTACCAGCCTTTCGAGCTCTACATCTACTTAGAGGAATTCTAAAATATAAAGAGTTTCGCCAAATACGACGAGTTTATCATTGGCGACGAGTCCGAAAAGTTTGCCTTAAAAGTACTTGGTCAGTACTCCGGAACCGCTTGAGACTCCCTAAGCTACCAAAAGGGTCAGGCGTTTTCCACATACGATCAGGACAATGATAAATCCGGTAACACAAACTGCGCCCAATTCCATGTCGGAGCTTGGTGGTACAACAATTGTGCTGAGAGGTATGTACAATGTCACATGTTTAGTATTTCAGGACGCTCATTTACACAAATACTGCCTAATTAAATTACTATGAATACGTATGTCAAACTATCTTTATTCCAATGAAGAAATATTGAAAATAATTATTTGATTGTATAGTTAATATATAGAATTTATGGGCGATTTATTGAAGTATCTTATTACAGATAACAAGTACTTATATGATATATTTCTAGTAATCTAAATGGTCAACATGTCGACATTTTTGGCAAATTACCCGAAGACAAGGCGCGATTGATTACCTGGAATTCATTTAACACGAGTTCTCATTTCTCATTTGTTCAAATGATGATTCGTCCCAAATTCGGATGTTTTTAGATATTTAAGGAGAGACTTTCTATGTCATGGAATGCAAATCAAAGTTTACATTGATATATTAAAAAAATATTGTGCAAACCTTATGTTTTTATTAGTATAATAAAATCTTAAATTTCACCGCCAATTGCTCTGACAATACTCTACTTAAAAGTTCACACGAATATGTACAACAAATTGGTGACTAGATCCGATTTTAAAACATACCTGTTGTTCCATTTTCTGATTGCGACTGTTAATTGCTGACATTTTCGCAACTGTGGCAACTCTAGTTTACAGAACAAAATCTTTGTGTTTGCTGGTTTGCACTAAACTAAGCGATGTCGATGATCCAATGGAGGGGCATTTGGCAAATTCCGGAGTGACAGCTGCAGGGAAATTGTTGTGAGTCTTCGGGGCGAAGAAGAATGCGAATGAAGGCAGCAAAACAAAAATCCGAAGAATCGGCCAAGACCAAGGCACTCGCACTGAATATCGCACACCTGGCGACAGTTTGTGGCGTTTGTAGTTTGTAGTTCTGTAGCACACGCGACACCAAAGTACAAGGGGTGTTGAGAGAAGAGAGGGCGAGGGAAGAAGGGCCGAAGCCGACAGCCGGCTCTTCCTGTTCTCGCTCTCTTATTTCCTATTTCCCGACGCGATCGGTATCGCGATTGATATTCCCCGGATTTCACGCCGATTGGACCACTGAATGTTTGCTTTAGCTTCTGAAGGGCAACCGAAATGTCTAAATATTTGTATATGTTTTTGCAATATTTAATGGCAAACACTTCCGTGCTCGTTGAGTTTCGTGTGTTATTTGCCAATTGAGTGGTTTGGCGCCTATTTTTTGGTAGAGGAGAGTAGGCGAAATAACCCGTCGACTGAACCGCACGCTGCCAAAACAACAACTGGCGACTTTAAGCAGTCAACCACTCAAGCAAAATTCTCGAGCGGAGTGGAATAAAATGGAATAGGAACAAAGGCACGAGGGAGAGCCGAACCACTTCGTCCTGTCGTGTGTCAGCGAGAGAGTGAGAGAAAGAGGGAGAGCTACTGCTGCCGCTCTCTCCACTCAGCACACCGCCTCCTGTGCCTGCTTCCTCTTCCACATCCTGCGAGCGACAGATGTGCAGCTGCCGAGTGCATTTGGATTTGAGCCTCCGCCTCCTTTTCACTTTGATCGGGATTACGGAACGCACATGCATTTGGTAATTGCATTCCGGATTGGGCACACTCGACTGGCTAACAGAAACTAAACAAATTAATATAACTAGATCTATAAGGCTGTAAGCCAAGCCAGTAATAATCAGGTCAAGACAGGAAGCAAACTTCGGCCAGTTGAAGTTGATATATCCTTGCCGCTGTTACATAAATTAAATATTTTATTTTATAATATTTCAATTTATATGACAATATGTTTAGAACTATTCAAACAATTTTTCTCACGTTTCAGCTATTGCAGCTATATAATACAGTCGTCCAATCTGTATTACATTTCAAACGTAATTAAACGAATTCTGAAAGGGTTTAAAGCGAATATATCTCTGGGTATATCGGCATATGTTAGAAAATAATGAATTTATCATTTTTCCGATCAATCCAGTTCCGACTTATATACTACCTGAAGTAGAAAGAATACTTTTGGGTAAGATTCTTTTAGTTACTCCTAAAACTGGGAGACTTGTTGGTCTAAAAACAGATATACGGACATGGATAGTTCGACTCTCCTATTGATGATAACTAAGAATAAATACTTTATAAGGTTTAATTATAAGGTTTCATTCTAAAACATAATTTAATATAATTGATTAAATAATATATTTTGAGTCAAATACACCTACATTTAAATATCAGTATCAGAATAATCAGGCACTGTGTTATTTCAATCGGTTTATATTTATTATTTAGAGGTAATTTGAGCTCTTCAGAATGTAATTTGTTTGCCCCTTCAAATTTTAATGGCCGCAATTGTGTGGTATAAAATCGTTTGGGCAGAATAATATCACACTATAAATTTACATATTTATCTGCCTATTTATTAACAACTGTCGACCGTTCTGTGTATTCGTATATGCTTGTATGTTTACATTTGTTGAATATGTAAAGAGTTTTTTGTTAGTTATTTGTTATTTACGGTATAAATAACACAAAACTAACAAGAAAAAGTCTACTTATTCAACAAATGTTTTGAAAGGTCAAACTAATAGCCCTGATAGATTCATTAGAGATAGAATATTAAAAGCACCTTTTTTTCATTTCGGGTTTGCCGCCGTCAAGATGTTTATTTCATTAACATTAGTCTTAGCCTACGATAGTGATCAGTAAAATTAAATAACAAATTAGATGAAAATATATCTCTTTTCAGAACAGCGTTCTGGTAAATTCGATTGAAATTGCCTTGTCATTTATGAGGTTCCTTAGCAGTTAAAGTTGTCAGGTTTTTTTTTTGAGTGGCTCCCGCCGAAAATAAATCTCTGAGATTTCTAGAAGAATCGGTGTTTTTTCTTCTTCTTGTTCTCCCCCTCCGCCGGCGGCTGGGGCTCCACGGACACCTGACGTCTAGGCAACAGGGGTGGTGGACTGACATCCCCATCCTCCCCGCTGAACTCTGGCGACAGAGGACGCGGGGCCCGCAGGATGGAGGTCAGCGGTGGCAGTGGCGAGCCGCCAGTGCCGTTCGCCTCGTGACCATCCTCCTCGATCCTGTCCAGCCGCGAACCGTGCACCGAGGCCAGCTCCGAGGGCGTCTTCACCTGCGAGCCGCCCTCATCGTCGCACTCGCTGGCCATGTTCATGCCGATGGTGGCGCCCACCTTGGCACTGGCCCGCTTGAAGTGGTCGCTCAGCTTGATCTGCACCACGTTGATGAACATGGAGGTCAGGGCCAGGCCGAATATCAGGTAGATCATGCTGACCATCACAAAGAAGGGGTTGCCGGGCACAAGGTCGCCGAAGCCGATGGTGGACATTGAGATGAACACGTAGTAGAAGGCGTCCAGGGAGGACCATTCCGACTCCACGAGCGTGTAACCGAATGTCCCCAGCAGGATGTACGAGATGAGCAGGAGCGAGGCCACAGACACCGGCAGGTTGAACTCGTCGTCCACCTCGAAGGTCTCCGGATATGGCGACGTAGGCGTCTCCGGGTGCGAGGTGGCCAGCGATCGGCCCGCCTCGGCATCCGCCTGCGAGTCCTCGTCGTTTGTCTCGCTGGACTTGCCGAAGAACATGCTGGGCCGCCGGATGGCCATGTCGTAGACGGTGGTGAAGCCGGTCATGGCGTCGCGGATCTGCTGCTGCTTCCGTATCCTGCGACAGGAGCGGGTGTAGTACACGCGGCGCACATACGCCCACAGGAACTTGACGCAGCGCGTGAAGAGCTTTCCCAGATCGGCCAGCACGATCAGGAACATGGGGATGCCGATGATGGCGTAGACGATGGTCAGCGATCGGCCCAGGTCCGTCTTTGGAGTGATGTGGCCGTATCCTGAGAAGCAGAAGAGGGAAATAAAGTTTTAAAAAGTTAAACAAGTTTGTGAAGAAAATGTAAAATAAATAATTGTTTGGAAATAAAGCGTTAAAATAATACAAATAATACATCTTTTAAAATCCTATTGATAAAGGCTTACATATATCCGAAAAGAGTTTTGAGCTTATAATTAAGAAAGACTAATAAAGAAACCGACGGCATTAGGGTTTCAAAACATGATTGTATAAAAATGCTTAACTTATACCTATACGAGAACTCTGAGGATATAAGAAGGCGTCCAAAAAAATGGACTTTCCTGATCAAATAAAAAAAATAAATCTAAACGTCCCCAAAGTTTGCATAAAAGACAGGTCAAAATGCTATGAAATATAGTGCAATTCAAAACTGTTTTGAGAATTTTTATACCCGTTACTCGTAGAGTAAAAGGGTATATTGTATTCGTGCAAAAGTATGTAACAGGTAGAAGGAAGCGTTTCCGACCCTATAAAGTATATATATTCTTGTTCAGGATCACTAGCCGAGTCGATCTAGCCATGTCCGTCTGTCCGTCTGTCTGTCCGTCTGTCCGTCTGTCTGTCCGTATGAACGCTGAGATCTCGGAAACTATAAAAGCTAGAAGATTGGCATTTTGCATGTAGATTTTAGGAGTTCCTACGCAGCGCAAGTTTATTTCAAAATGGTGTCACGCCCCCTCTGACGACCACAAGCCACAAGCTGTGGCCACAGTTTTGATGCTATTATGAAAATTGTAATTGATATGTATTTGTTTCGTCAATACCTATCGATTGGCCTAATAAAAGTTTGCCACTCCCACTCTAACGCCCAAAAACCCATTAAACGCTTAAGCCTGGCTAGCGCCTACATTTCCGCCTTTCATGGCGCCATCTAACGGATGACTTTGGAACAGCTGGCCAAGGTGCTCAACACAGTCAACGTTAATTCTCGATAAGGATTTCTATTAAAGGAAATAGCGATGGTTTTCATTTGTCAATACCGAACTATATCCCAAGAACTATGCAAATCAAATCAAGTTAGCGAAATTGGAGGTCTGAGTCAAACAATAGCGTATGTGTGTATGTATGTAAGCATATACATATGTATGTATTTACATTGTACACAGTTGCAATTGCATATTTATATTAAGTTGTTTAGCTGAGTAACGGGTATCTAATAGTCCAGGCACTCGACTATAGCGTTCTCTCTTGTTAGGAACTCGCTTCCTGTTAAAGGCACAACGATGGTTCCAATGGATCTTTTACCTATGGTTGTAATTACGGTCCAACAGAAGATAAAGCAATTGACAAAGTTCCACGACTTTTGGCCCGGATACCGCCGTAGCCCCAGCTCGGCCAGCGTATTTAGTTCGTCCTCGAATTTGCGCAGCTTCTGGCGCGCTAGAGACTTCCAGTCCTCCTCTCTGGCAAAGATACAAATGGATCACTCCCTGAACTGGGCCACCGAGCCATCTTCATTAGCCCTACCTCGTGTTGTGGCTGACGTCCCAAAGTTTGTCGATGAAATCCCGCTTGACCTTGCGCACCTCGCACTTGTATATATTCTCCGAGGCTCCCTCCGTGTACCGGAACATGAGTCCTCCGAATCCCAGAAACATTGCCAAGCAGATGAGGTAGGCAATGCACTTGTTGCGCAGCTGACGCAGCTCCTCCACCCGTTGGGGGTAGTCCAACTTCAGGCGCCTCCACTCATGAGCGGCTTCCAGCCGAAGGTGGTACAGAAAGGCCCTGGAGGCCAGCTTCTCCGGTTGGCTAACTGTGGACAAGTCAGCGACGTCTTCACTTTGAACCTCCTTCTTTCGTATGAACAAATTTTTTACACGCTGCATGAAGGATGGCTTGGGTTCGGCTTTCGGGGTGGATTGTTCTGGTACCAAGGATTCTTCCTGATCTGCTTCTGGTTCAACTCCGGGTTCAGGAATAGTTTCTTGGGTGCCTTGGGGCTCCTGATCTTTTACACCCCTCTCCAGACTGCCCGATCGTTTGGCCCTCAGCGGACGCTCCAAGCTGGAACTGCGCTTCGGAGGCTTCTCCTCCTTTTCAGTCAACCTCAGGCTGTGGCTGCGACGCACTCCCTCCGCCGCAAGATTTTGGGCCGCCAGAGCAGCCTCGGCCTTCTCCGCCCGCTCCGCTGCCTCCATGTACTTCTGCATCAGATCCGACTGCTGTTCCGCCTCCGTGATCCTGGGCTTAAGCACCTCGCCCCTGGACTCGCCCACCTCCACGTACTCGTGCTTCCGGCTGATCTCCTCCCGCTGTTCCGGCGTCTTGGAGCGTCGCTGGGGTCTCACGGGCGACAGGGAGTTGTTGCGACTCACGGATAGTCTTTCCGGTGGTTTTAATGGGGCAGAGGGTGGTGGTGGTGGAGGAGCCCCTCGAATCGGAGCAGCCACGTAACCCTGGGGAATCTTGGCGGCTCGTGGCCTTGGGTGCATTTCCTCCACCGCCTCAGCATCGGAGGAACTGAACTGGGTGGAGGACTCCTCGTAGCCGCTGCTCCGATTCCTACCACGAACCTTGGGCGCCTCGTTCCTCTGGAGCCGTAGACTGTGGATCAGACGGCGGCGCTCCTCCTCGTCCTGCGGCAGCTGGATGCGATCGCTGAGCTTGCGGTAGCTCTGCAGGAGCCGTTTCCGCTCCTCGTTGTCCAGCTGCTGGCGGTGGCGCATCTTGTGCTCCCGCTTCTCGCGCTCAAAGAGCCGTTTCTCTGCATCGAAGCGCCGGCGCTCGTCCTCGAAGCGCTGCAGATTCTGCTCCAGTCGGGTGAGGGTGTCCTGCGTCTGGCCGGGATGGGGGATGGGCCTCTGCTGCTGGCTACTGCTACCGGTGGTGGTCAGCTCGCTCTCGCTGGACTCCTCCTTGTGGCGCGGCGAGGACAGACTGCGGTGCTTGATGAGTTGGTTGGCATCGGGACTACTGAGCTTCTCCGCCTCCCGCGGCTGAGACTGACTGCGGGCCGAGGAGCTGGCGAAGCTCTTGTCCCGCTTTCGCAGGATCTTGCTCTCGTGGGCGGACAGAGTGCCAGGCGGTCTGATTTGCATGCGCACCATCTGGGGCGAGGGATCTTTAATGGTTTCCGGACTCAGGTCGTCCTGCGGCAGGACATCGGTGACGGGCGTCGGCTCCCGGTGGCTGCGACCCAGGCGGCGGCGGTGGCGCTGCTGCTGTCTGGCGTCCACTGGCTGCTCCATCATGTCCAGCCGCAAACGTGTGCTACTTTCTCGATCTATCTTTGTGCTCGTGCTCATGCTCTGGTCATCTATTTTTAACGGGCCAACGAGGCGTTCATATTCCGCGTATGAAAATATGCCTCTGGGTAATTATATCACTTTCGTTTGCAATTTCGTATTCTCGTTTCAATGCTTATCTTTTGCCGTTGCTCAAATTGTATTATAATACACTTTCCACCGATTTATTCTGTATTTTCCTATATTTTCTATACATTTGACAACTGCAATTACATATAAGAATGTCTGTATCTGTTTCTATAGATGATGTAGAGCGCGACGCGATCCAATAGATTGGATATTGCTGACGGACTCGACCGCGGTTGGCATCCAACTGCTGAGAGTGTGGAGAAAATTCAAATTTTCATTTTCAGTTTTGTTGTCTATATTTTTGGTAGATCTCTCAACAGCTGTTCTGCTATATCTAATGCATCCGATGATGTGCGAGATTTGCTCTCATTTTGTATCCTATATTTTCTTGTGGGATGCTTGCTGCTTATTAAATGAGTGCGAGGAATTTATGTGTGTAGTTGCAGTTCTGTTGATATCTTTAATTTTATTATAAATTGAACACTCAATACCAAGAATTATTCTGGTTTTTAAAACAATTTCCCGAAAATAACTTAAAATTATAATATTGTAAAAAATGTAATAAATAAAACAATATTACAAATATTTTACATTTTAGAATAATTTTACACATGTATTTTACACCAATGTTGACTTTATTGGAATGATGGGACAAATAATAAGCGGATAATTAAAATGCAGCGCTGAACGAGAAAGGAAGCTAAAAAAAAACTAAGCCAACAATTTCGGAATTAGGCATGTTTGTTACGATCCTTTATATGAATATTATTATGCAAGGATAAGTATCAAAAACATTTTTAAGAAGTCCGCCAAATAGTTAGGTATGACCATGTCTCTACAAAAATACTGAAAATCGCCTTTATAAGTATATACCGAAACACATGGTTACGGTTATCGATGTATCGATTAAAAAATTCAAATGTGTTCCTTCTCTAATTATTGTGGTTCATAGAAACGCGCACGTGTTTTTGTGTCCAATATTTATAATATTTAAAAATGGGATTCGGTAAACCTCGTGGCGGCGGAGGCGGCGGTGGCGGAAGAGGATTTCGTGGAGGCGGTGGCGGCGGAGGAGGAGGTGGTAACTTCAGATCCAACGGCGGCGGATTTAACAGAGGAGGAGGTCGTGGTGGTGGCCGAGGAGCCTTTGATAATGGTATGTAAATGGAGTTTCTTAATAGGCACTACCAAGTCTGAACTAAAGCAAAAAAAGAAACTTACTTCTTACAAAGACGTTTGGCATTCAATTAAAACAAATATCAATATAACTACAAGAAACCACGTTGCTTACATATGTATTTTACCGATCATTCCTATGGAAACTAATGGATATAGTCCGACATATCCGCATGATTTCATACACATTTATAAAGATACATATATATTAAAGAAAAAGATTGAAAAATATACATATATTGCGTATGCGAGTGAAAATATCTTTAGAATTTGTAGATCTGGAAGTGTCTTCTACTTTCAGGCAACTTGCCAAATGTCTTTAGTTTACTGTACTTTTTTTTAACTTTAATAGCTATTTATTTATTTAATTACAGGACCTCCAGAGAGAGTTATTGCTCTAGGAAGCTATGTTTATTCGTGCCAGAATGACCTTGTGTGCAAAGTTGGGATTCAGGACGTCCCATACTTTAATGCGCCAATTTTCCTCGAAAACAAGGAACAAGTAGGCAAAATTGACGAAATCTTTGGAACAGTTCGTGATTACAGCGTGTCCATTAAACTGTCAGATAATGTCTATGCAAACAGTTTCAAACCGAATCAGACATTGTATATTGACCCTGGAAAGCTATTACCAATCGCCAGATTTCTACCCAAACCTCCACAGCCGAAAGGAGCGAAAAAAGCCTTCACAAATAATCGCGGTGGAGGCGGTGGCGGCGGTGGTTTTGGAAACAGAGGAGGTTCCCGCGGAGGAGGTAATATAACAAGTTGTGTTCCAAAACTAGAGTCTAAATTTTATTTTCAACAGGTGGTCGAGGTGGCGGAGGATTCGGTGGAGGACGAGGTGGTGGCGGTTTCAGAGGAGGAAACCGTGGAGGTGGCGGCGGCGGCGGCGGAGGATTCAACAGAGGCAGAGGAGGAGGAGGTGGAGGTGGTGGTGGTCGTGGTCGCTGGTAGTTTTCAATATTTGACCCACATTAAAACATTTAAAGAAGTGTACAATACTACTTTTGTACATGTCCAAATAGTTTATAAGGAAAGAGTTATTTGGGTATTACTAGCTGACCAACAAATCGAACTTTGTACCTCAAATGCTTCTAAAATAAAAATCTTAAAAATTGAAACTCATATTTAACTGAAAAAAAGGGAACAGAAAAACCACTCGGTTCAAATATTCTCGAGGAAGCTTTTATTCGAATCTTTTGGTTTAACAAATACAATTTAATAATTAATTAAAAAAATATATTTTTGAAGTTTAAATTGAAAAGTTTTTAATTTTAAAGAACTTTAAAATTGGCCCGCGACATTAGATTGATATAATACTGCCGCCCACCTGAATTGGTCCACTATCACAGCTAGAGGAAACAATGTCATATCGTGTGTACGGGTAACATTATCTTTCTTTAATTGGCTTGTACATCCCAGTCAAGGAATTTTCGGATACGTTTTTTTTATCTTAGACATCCGAAATCCAAAGTTTAATTAACAAACAAGATGACAAGACCAAACTCGACTTTTGTAGCAGAATATTGCTAACAAAAAATCTTGTTATAGATTTCCGAGAAGTTTTTAAGTTCCTTAAAAGTGTGTAGAAATGTAATACTTTGAAAATTACATCTTCCCTACCTCGTAAAATTGTACCACTTGAGAATGGCTGGACTGAATTAACAATTTTTTGAAAGCCGTTGTACCTTTCGCTTAATTTATTCGCAAACAATATACTAAGATAATGATTTTTCAAATGCCAGCTTTAACGAAAAAGAAACTTAACTTCGGTTACGAGAAATGTGCTTCTCAAATAGTATAGTAAATTAAAAAATAAACGATGTGTATCTCAAATGTCATGAAAACCGATGAAAGTCAAGCCGATCGGAGGACTATATACGATCAACGTAATTTTTATACCCTTGCAAAGGGTATTATATTTTCAATGGAGACATTTCCGACGCTATAAAGTATATATAATCTTGATCAGCATCACCAGGAGAACCGATCTAGCAGTGTCCGTCTGTTTGTCCGTTTCTAAGCAAACTAGTCCCTCAGTTTTAAAGCTATTTGCTTGAAACTTTTCCAAAAGATGTCTTTCTATTGCAGGTAGTATATAAGTCGAAACGAGCCGAATCGGGCGATATCATAAAGCTCCCTTAAGAACAATTGGAAAAACAAATTTAAAAAGTATAACTTTGTTGTTTTAAATTTTTTGTTTTTGTTCTTTGGGATTTGACAATATTTGAATACTGTGGAATTACGGTCATTATTATATATGTAGCTCCCATGGAAACATTCGAAAAATTAAAATGAAAAAAAAATTATTTTGCTGATTTTCTATTTATCAAAATATTGCTTTGAGATATAATAATTATTTACTATACCAGAATTACGCTTTAAGTCTTGTCAAAATCAGACAACAATATCATATAGCTGCAATAGAAACGATGGCAAAATACAGCGCAAAATCGACATAGCTTCATTGTTTTTAGTAATATAGGCATAGAATTTTAAATGTAGTCGTTTTGTAATAACTGCAGGGGTATATAAACTTCGGCTTGCCGAACGTTACAAACATCTGACCAAAATAATAACACACTCATCAGGGGAATTTTGTCGAATGAGTTGGAAGTTCAAAACACTCGTCTAAGCTTTAAGAAATTAAATTGTATCAAATGTATCCTAGAGCACACTCATCAGAATTCCCTTGAAATTTTATAAATTTTTCGAGTTTTGTTTAAAATGCTCAAAATTGTTTGGTATGGGGGTTTCCTTCCGCTTTCCACCAGCAGTTCGATTCGTGCATATAATTTGTTAAATTTGCAGCTGTTCTCAATCGAAAAAAATATTTATGGCACTAGATTTGGCAAAAATATTAAATAATTTGTTTTTGACGTCTAGTATTTTATCTTTGTATCCACTGACGTCATGGTTGCCATAGAGTATTTCTCCACTTCCAATTTTAACATAAATTAAATGTTTTGTTAAATTTTCATCAGATACTCCCCGGAACCTCTTTTAATTCTTCTCACCCCTCGAACTGTCGGATGGCCCAGCTCACTCCCCTTTCTCCTCTGAAACGTTGATGACGGATCGTATTCGCTTTTATGGAATTTCGGTGCGATTTTGTGTTTGTTTATTCCTAGCAATTTCATTCAACATTTCCGAATTGCCTTCGAGATTCGTTTTCCATTTGGGCATGCACCATTTTATAAAATTGTATAGAATCCATAGAATGGTTTTACTAAGCGTTATTTTAATCGCAGCATCAACAGTTTTATGGTAGCCAGCAAATATGGGGTTTGCATGGGAATTATGAAGTGTTTTCCGGTTTATTGATCTGTTCGATTTTGTGTTTATTTTGCGCATAAATCAATAAAAACTTAATAGTGAAATACTGATATATTACCTGTCGTTCAAAAGACAAATTATTCAAATCTTTCATTGTGTCATGGGTAAATTGGGTAATATTTTTGTGACATCTTAGTCCTAAAAATAAGTAAATACTAAATATAGTGGGGATTGATTCACAAGTGAGTCATTCACATCAGCAGCCGCAGCTATCTTTACAGACTCTCGATTTCAAATTTAACTATCTATGAGCCAAATCATAAATGCACATTGAGAAGTGCTCTTCAGGCGTATGTTTTGTTTATATCTTGTGCCAATTTTGACAAGTTGATTATATTGAATGCACTTCAAAAGGCACAATTTGCAATTCTGTTTACAAGGCGAACGCTTAAGCGTCGTCGTATTGTGCCAATAATTTGGCAATTTGTGTTAATTGCTTTTGTGTTGATGTGGGTGCAAAGTTTTCCACACTTGAGGATTTATTTGAATTCATTTCTTACTTTTCGGTTGTTGGAAACTTGTCAAAAGTGGCGACGCACCGGAATTTATTTACTAAAATAAGCTTTTCCCCATTTATCTGGCTGACTGTAAAACAAGTCGGCGAGCACAGAATAAAATTTAGAACAAATCCAAAATGCTAGTGAGTCGAATAAAAGTGGCTATCAAATCATTAACTAACCACATTTATATGAAACATGTTTCCCCGAGGTGGAATAATCATTCAAAACATTAATCTACCGCACAGATTTGTTCGGTCGAAATCATTTCCATTTTCATGGCATGTTTATGGGCGAGAAAAGTCATTTGCAAATTAAAATTGAAATTAAAAGAAAATTTAATAAAGAATGCGTAAAGAGGAAATTCGGCGTAACTCGTTCAAAAGGTGAGAGGATGGTCGGCGAGTTATTTATAAGTCCCCAATTAAGAGTTGTGACAGTATTCCAAAGAATTTCGACGCCTCTTGAGAGATCTCATAACTGTCTGCGCAAGAAGAGACACAAATTTTTTATCTCACAAATGCCGACGATCGCAAAAATATTCAAAACTATTTCCATCTTTTGTGTCACATATTTTGTTGGCTTAATAATGAAGAAGAATAAACATAAATAGACCGTCTTGCCTCCTAAGAAAACATATTATATTGGCGTGGGAGTCTTTGCACTCACAATACACGAAAATTCACCCAGAAGGGTCTTTGGAGGTCCACTCACCTATGGTTGTGTATATGGTGCAGCTGTACACCATGGAGTCCCAGAAGGACCAGGGTTTCGCCTTCTCCGCCAGCCCGTTCCTCAGAAGCGATTCCACCGCCGCCGTATGATTGTTCATTATTCGCAGCACTTGACTGTCGAACTCTATTTTCAACAACTGAAATTTTCACAAAATAATAGATTGTTTTGGGCTTGATAAATGTCAATGATCTTACCCCGCTCGTCCGTGGATCCTTGGTCATCTGACGCATGTCGTCGAAGAATTTCCTCTGCTGTCCCTGGAGCTCCCGTAGTTCCATGTTTTCATGAGGAAGTAAAACTTGACCTATGTCAATGGGGTACCAAATGGCCAAATTAGCAACGTTGATTTGCAATATAGACTTCGCGCTTTAGGAAATAAATCTAAAGAATTTGGCTTTCCAAATTAGAGAAATCGCCTATTGCATTCAGAGAATTCCAAAAGTTTTCTATTACACTAGCTTCAGGAGCCTCCATTTCGGGAATCCTCCATCCGCTCGTTAATCATCTTCAACTAGACATCTCCGTTGTTTATAAGACCCATTATTCCCCGTGTTGCTGTGATTCACCAAATGTATGTGTACCTATGAGATTCGAGTGTTCCTTCACCCGTTCAATGGATTCGGATACTGAATCAGTCGTCTGCCAAATTGATGGGGCATGTTTTTACGATTACAATACAGCGCACACATTTGGCTGTTGTATTTATTTGAATGGCTGGGAACTGTTTACTATTTTCCAAACAATTTCCGAAGAGCTTGATAAGCAAACAAAGTCGTTTAGTGCACTTCTGCGTCCGTGTAGCTTTTCTTTGTTAGGGCAAGTTAATGAATTTGTCTAGAGGATATCGTCACAGAATCACACTCAGCTAAAAAAACACTATATCTGCTGATAAGGTCGTTGCTCACCTTCGATGGTTTGGAACAGGAGCGCTCCACCCACGCTGTAGAGTGCCAGGATGAAGAGCAGGAACAAGTGGGTGAACCACCGACGGGACCACCGGTACATGCCGAAGGTTAACTTCTCGCCGAAGCTCATGCCCGACTTGGTGATGTCGAGGAAGCCCTCGTAGCCCTTGGTCATGAAGTTGCCGTATCCGAAGGGATTGGCCATGGGTGGCCAGTAGGGACCCTGTGTCCCATTGCCCGTGAAGTTCGTCTGAGCCGTATGAGGTGGCTGGGCACTCGGGGGCATGGAGGCTTGACTCATCGCCGATCCCCCGGTCAGGTTGTGGATGTTGATCCGGGGAGGTCTGTTCGCCCTTCGAGAGGGCGGTGGTGTGCTGGGGATGGGCGTTATGCTCTGGGCCTGCGACATGGTCGAGGATTTGCTGTACTTGTCTTTGGATAACTCTGAGTTTATAGGGGTCTACTAGGGCTTATTTTAAGAGCTGCGTTGATCATCAATTGCTGACTGTTAAGACCTCAAATCATTGGACACTTTCTCGCCATTATTTAAGTTCCATTCACATATATGTACTTATATATTTGTATTATTTTTAAGTTTATAAGTAGAATTGCCGTCGCGATTCCAAGGCGCCCCGCGTATTTGTTGCTCCGCGTATTTTCCCGATGCTGGCTGGCTCTTCCCGCTTCCGACCGCCTCGTTCTTGAATCCAATGCGAACTGAACTGAAGCAAAATATTTTGGCCAACATCGGTGCTGTTGTCGCTTTCGCTGGGAGCGCTATAGTATTTGTATCAGCCACGAATCTCCGGCTGCCGCCGACTATGACGACATCGACAGTCATGAGCTCACGGGGCTCCGTCTCCAACGAGGAACTACCAACTGATCTCGGCACTCAAGCTGATTATTTCATAATTATGTGATAGGGTCGCGCAGTCTCTGCTGTACTTCTTAAATCGAGTTTTGTTTTGCTTAAAGCGTAGTTTTCTTATCGCAAATATTTTCGTTTTTTTATTATTTATAAATATGTTCTCGCATTAGCTTGGTCTGCCACTAATGAATTGGGCATTTTCCCTCGCATAATTTATCAGTTGAGCATTTTTCTCGCTTCTGCCGCTTAATAATTTGCATAAAATTAAGACAACGGAAGATATTAGTCATTCGTGCCCGGCAGTCATTTACGTTTTCATAGAACTCTGTCTAATATACTTTGCCGTTTTTATTTGGCTTACACACAAATGGTGAAGCACTTTCTAGGAAACGCTTAAGACATTTTTAAATAAAAGACAAAATGTTCAGATCAATTCAAATGAAATAAACATAAATATTTGTATTCATATTAATAAATACAATTAAGACGTACGCAATTGTTTTGTTTTATTTACTGAAGTGCAGCCATTCGGATAGGTATTATAGACAAACATTTAAATTGTTTCCAGCTTTTTATATATTTAGACATTGTATGTAGATGTATGCCAAGAAATACATTTATATTTTTATATTTCTATTCTTTACCAATTTGTTTTCTTTAGTTTATCATCGCTCTTTTGTTCTTTCTTAAAATAAATACGTTTTTAATAAATATGTTTAAAATGACATTCGTTGATAAGTTGTTTCTTGTTTTTGGATACTATTCTTAATTTATTATTGAGGTTGCTGATAACAAGTCATTGTAAAAATGAATTTTTTTCCATTTTTAACTAATTTAACACTTCATTAAGTTAAATTAGTAATAAAAGATTGAAATATTTAAACAGTTACTAAACTTAGTATTCATTCTACTCACTATTTTTATATTGTTGCAAGAATAAATCAAATATTTTTAGTAATTAAATATTGAAATATTTAAACAGTTAACTAAACTTAGTATTCATTCTACTCACTATTTTTATATTGTTGCAAGAATAAATCAAATATTTTTAGTGTCAAAATGGATATCGCATTTTATTAAAAATATTTGTAAGAATTGGCTTGCTCTGCGACTTTCTACGTGGTAGTAATAAGATTTCATATTTATTGAAACCAGAGAGTTTTCAGAAGAGTGGTAGGGCCTCTCAAAGACCCACTGGGCAAGTCCAACAACCCACAAAGGGCCCCACGGGTTCATAGAGATTTGTTGTTATACCCTTGCAGAGGGTATTATAATGTTGGTCACCCCCATATATATTCTTGATCAGGATCACCTCCTGAGTTGATATAAGCAAGTCCGTCTGTCTGTTTCTACGCAAACTAGTCTCTCAGTTTTAAAGCTATCGAATTGAAACTTTGCACACACCCTTCTTTCCTTTGCACGCAGTATATAGGTCGGAACGGCCGGGATCGGCCGACTATATCCTATTGCTGCCATATAACTGATTGATCGGAAATGCCATAGCTTTGGTGTGTGAAAAGTTAGAAAGTTGGGATTTTCTATGGGTTTTATATTTGGCCAATCAATCCGACCTACTAAATTTCATAAGGACCGGACGACTATATCCTATAGCCGTCATATAACTGATTAATCGGAAATGCCAAAACTTTGGTGTTTGTTAAGTTAGGAAGTTGGGATTTTCTATGGGTTTTATTTTTGGCCAATCAATCCGACCTATCAAATTTCATAAAGATCGGCCGACTATATCTTATAGCTGCCATATAACTGAACGATTGGAAATGCCATAACTTTGGTGTTTTTAATGTTAGGAAGTTGGGATTTTTTATGAGTATTAAGAATGCATCATATGAATAATTTTGGAGAATATAATTTACAGAGTATTCTGCAAGGGTATATCAACTTCGGCTCCGCCCGAAGTTAGCTTTCCGTTCTTGTTTTTGATGTTTTTGTTTATTTGCAGCCAATGTATATCTTTGACATATAAACTAATTTAATTTTACAAAACCCAAAATATTTTTATATATAAAATTTTTATAACATTTCAAATGTTTTTATGTTCAATTGTTCAATAATTGTTGCTCTTTTGTTGTAAGAGCTTCGGCACCAACAACCGACTGTTACTTTTGCTGCGAAACCAAATTCATAGTAACATATAAAATAATGCTTCAAACTTGATAAAAATACATAATAAGTTCTTGAAACCATTTTGTTTCAAGATTTGATTTTTTTTTAAAGTTTGAAATGCTGCTAATCTAGCTTTGCTTACAAAAGTCGAAGCAAAAGTAAAATCAATCAAAATACTTTTACAGCACTTGTCGGATTTTTCATAGCAAAGCTAATCATGAAGTACATTATCTTCAATAGACAATTTGTTGCTGTGCTTTTATTTAAAAAGTTTGTCGAGCTCACAGCAACTATCGGCATTCAAGCCGATATTCTTGCTCAAACATGGTCACACACCTGGGCACGCAGTGCTGCTAAGCGCGAGAACTCTGCCGCTGCGAGCATTGCCCAACACTAAAGTGTTCTAATTCCTGCACTTACATATGTACATGTAAACTATTAAATTGGCCATCGCAAAGAATACAACATGGAGGAAAACGAGACTCGGTCGGAGACCAGAGACCCCACGGAACTGGCCAATGGTAAGGCATCCGGCCACGGTACGGGGAAAGCTGTAAACTAACACAATTCTAATTCGACAGGGACAGGCGAGGATGACGCGACCAGCCAGCACAAATTCAGTCACCTGCAGAACGAGATGCGCAAAATGCAGAACGAGTTCAACACGCAGCGGGCCAAGATGCGGGAGCTGTACATGCAGAAGGAGGCGGAAGTCAACCAGAGCCAGCTGGAACGCAGGCAGTTGCAAACGGAGTTGGACGAACTAAAAACCCACCTGATGGTTGCTGACCTCAAGTCCGAGAACGAGCTGCAGCTGAAGGACCTTAAAGCGCAGGAAGAGATCTCCTCCCTGCAGCAGCTGGTGCAGGACACCATCGAAGAGTCCTCGCATTACAAAAGCGAGCTGGAACGTCTCAAGCTGGAGCTGACGAAGTACCAGCAGATTCACCATCAGGCGCAGACGTTGTCTCAGCAACCGCAGGCTGAGTCATCCGGCGGCTTAGCGCCCCAAGTGCTGAATCAAGTCAAAAAGACGCTAGGCTCTGTGCGGAAACTAGGCACTGACTCACTAAACAGCAGCTTTCAGCAGGAAGATGATACGCGGGCAGCCAACAAGGGCAATGGCAAGCAATACGTAAGTTTCTCGAACTGATCTGCCAGTGGTCTAATGCTAGTTCCTCTTACAGGCCCCCGAGGAGGCGGAAATGATGCACTCCATCGTCGAACAGTTGCAAGAGGAGATGAAGGCCCTAAAGATGAAAGTTCGAGAGCAGGACGAGCAATTGCAGGCCAAGTCGTCTGTCGATGCCTCCGCCCTGCACAAGTCCACGTCCATGGATGTGGCCGAGGGCTCATGTGAGTCCTGTAGCGTGGCAGAGAAAAAGACCGAAGAGCTAAATGCACACATCAACAAGCAACAAAAGCAGGTTGATCTGCTGCAAAAGCAGCTTGTAGAATCCCGCGAAACCCTGGCCAAGGAGGCCGCGCTGCGCAAAGATCTGGAAGACCAGTGGCAGGAGAAGCGGGAAGCCCACAAAAGCGAAGTACAAAGTCTGCGCGATCAGGCCAAAACCAACGAGCAGCGACTGCTGGACATGCAGCAGACGTTCCTCGAGACCAAGGACGAGGTGATAAAGCAGATACAGCGCGTCACCGACGACCGGGAGCGGGTCAACAAACAGTTGGAGACATTGCAGGCCGATAACGACTTCCTGTCCGGTCGCTATCTGGCCACGTCCGAGGAGATCGACAACCAGTACATCAACCTGCCCAACACGGTTGTCGAGCTTCAGGAACTTATGCTTCGTCAGCAAAGCGAGCTAATCCAGGCTCGCGTCAGCAGCGAGTACGAGCGACAAAAGTGCACGAGCACAGAGGATGAGATTCAGATCTTGCGGGCCCAACTGGAGGAGAGCAATAACGAGCGACGTGCCTACAAGCGCAAAATGCAACTAGATATTAAGTCACTGCAGTAAGTTTAGCCTGTTGAGTTATATCTAAGCCGTTGCTCATATTCGTACTAAATTCTTAGGGACCGGGTAACGGAGCATTTGGTCACGGTGCAGGCGTACGAGACGACCAAAACTCAATTGGAGCGCAAAGAGGCTGAGCTCAATAAACAGCTGTCCGAGTGCCGCGTGGAGATCATTGAATTGCAAGAAGCCAATGTAAGTAAAGACCTTAAAATATTCAATCAGATTCGCCCACAACTAGATCCCTTTGCAGGAGAAGTACGCCAAAACAAACTCAGATTACAAGACAAAGATAAAAACACTGCAGGAGGAGCTGTCCACCATGGAGACAGTGCAGAAGGACTTTGTTAAACTATCGCAAACCCTTCAGGTGAGTGCGTTAAAAAATGTATGGTTTATTCACTTAAATATTAACATTCTTTTGTGATAGATGTCGTTGGAGGAGCTACGGCATGCCGACACGGAAGTTCGCTGGCAGGACGACGATGACGTGAACAACTGTCCGACGTGCAACGCCTATTTCACGGTCATGGTGCGCAAGATCCATTGCCGGCACTGCGGCCACATCTACTGCGATAAGTGTCTAACAAAAACGGTGCCATCAGGGCCACGGAAGCGAGTGACCCGAGTCTGTGATATCTGTCACACGCTGCTTACGCCAAACACCGCTCCCTATTTCAGTCAGGGACAGCCGCCACAGCAGCAATCAGGCCAGCAGCAGCAGTCCAACTAGGTGGCCGGGCTCCAAGCCCAAGCTATGTGTGAACTACGATTACGATTAGTTTATATTTCCTTGAACTCTATTGCTCTGTTTTGTGCTCCAAAATAACGTTTTTAAATTCGATGCTCAACCTTTCCAATGCTGCACCAGGTTGAGTTATTTTCCATTTCCTTATGCCAATGTCTGTTTTTGATTTTGCCGTACCTTCTTTGTGCTTTACATAACGTAAGCGATGAGTTGTCTATGTTAGCTTTTGTCATAGGTAAGTTTTCATAATTGAATTGAACTCAAATCAAATACACAAATTAAAACAAATAATGTTTGTTGTTTGTCATCACACATCTTTACTTGAACCAACTTTGCCTGCAAGAGAGGGAGCAGTTAAACGAGCTGTGTATTTAAAGTCAATTCATGCAACAAATATTTAGTGTTTTTGTTTATTTAAAAATACTAAGAAAAAGTTTGTAAATTATTGTTAACAATTGTATTTGTGTCTTCATTTGGTTGCGAGGAGCTAGGATTGGTTTAGGTATTTGCTAAATATTAAAACGTAATAACAATGTTGGGCATGCCCATGTAAATTCAGTATGTACAACTCTCACTTCAACTACCAGATAATGATAATCTAATACTGCAATCTCCGCATTCAACGAAAAACTTGAACAATTACAGACACTATACACACACAGGGGGAATCACATTACTTGGGAAGCAATTACGGGTTGTTTGGCACAGAGTGTCTGCGAAAAAAAAGAAAGATTAGATGGCAATTAGCCTGTCTGGGGAAATGGATTTCGAACTAATTTTCCTTACCTCACCATAAAACACGACCTGCTATCAGAGCTACAATGGTAACGGCTGCCACGCCCACAACGCTCATCACACGAGAAGCTGGATTGGAAGAAAATAATACTCAAATCAGTACATTAAATTATTAATATGTAAATTTAAAGCAGAGGAAACTGCGTTATCGGAATTGATTTTATACATATTTTAAGCGGGTTAGTAAATTGCAATTGGTCAGTTTCCTCAAAGCTTCGTATTTATGCATGCTAGATAAGCCAGAATAGAGGTTGTGGTTAGGTTTGTACGGCTAGTATATAGTCTATTAGGAGAAATATTTGAAGGACAAATACCATGGATAAGTCTGTTATAAGTTGTGATTTCTGGATCTGGTGCTGGGTTGTTACACTAAACATTGCCTTGACATTCACAAACACAAATCAACCAAATACAATGACCCAACGGGACACTTACTCGTGAATCCTTAAATTGATCGCGACGCTGTGACTGCTTTGAGACATTTAATGTTCTTTTTGATTCTTTCTTGAATTTGGACAAGTCACACGAATGTGCAAACGTGGACTGGACGTGGAATACATGGATAACAGACAGTACAGAGATGCTCGATGGATGGCGGACATCGGATCCTGATTCCTGGCGGTGCTGTGACTGTGGTGCTGTGGTTCGTAGTGCTTGTCTCGGGATTTCGATGGTTCGCGGTACAGATATAGGTTATAGACAGCGGCGTATTTAGGGATAGATATTGCGGAGAAAGAGCGTTTTCTTAGCCTAAGGATGAGCAGTTGATGAGCGCTTCTGGATGGATGCCTATCGTTTACAAATAACTAAATACAATTTTTTTTTTAAAGCTTTGGCTTTGAGCCTGTGATGATGCTGACGATGATTTTTGATGGCTAGCGTTCTGGCCTGTCTACAGATTCATTCTATTGCAGCTTTTCACCTGATGCGCCACTTCCCGAGCCTGTCGAAATATCGCGCCCGTGCTTGCTCAGCCACTCGATGATCACTCCGTTGGACCAGCCGAAGCCCGTTTGCACGTCGTACTCGCCTCCTGTGCCATGTCCTCCGAAAACCTGGGCATCGTACTGCAAATAAAGGTACAAAGAAAAAACAAATTTTTTAATTAATCTTTTTTAAAGATTATAACAACGACTTTTGGGCTTTGTTATTGCTTTCAACCTGAAACACTTAGGCATCAGTTAAACTAAGTATTTTCCAGAAAATTGATCAGTACTTTAAAATGTGCGCATATTATTTTAAGCTGCATAATTTGTCGTGAATAGAGAAAAATATGCAATGTCTTATGTCTTTGACAACATAATCGTAATAAATTCTAACGATTAAATAAATTTCAAGCAATAACTACCACGAGTTAGAAAATAGTCAAAAATATTCATTTCCATTTAAAATAGATTTCATTTATGCTTACCTTCTCGTACATGTCGAGGTGGTCGGTATAAGCCTTAAAGTTTGACTTCACCCAGCGGGTGGCCCACTTCATTGACATATTCTTTGCCTCGGGAGTGTTCAGGTTGTTTAGGCCTTCGACCAAGATGTACTGCATTGGCGCCCACACATTGGGGAAGTCCCACTGCTCATTTTGAGCGGCTAACGTGTTGGGAACTCCGCCAGGATATGTGTCCAGCTTGTTCTTCTCAATGTAGGCCATAATTTTAGCCGAGATATTTTCAGAATCTGAAATATTGTAGGCCTTTACCCACAGCGGTGAAAGATTGGTGGGCACAAAATAGTTGCGCGACTTTTTGTTCTCTATATCATAATCCAGCCAGCACCCGGCCTCCTCGTTCCACAGCACTTCTTGGATGCCCTTTAATTCGAAGAATATATTAAAATTCCAATTAGTTTTAATTGTTAGTTGGTTATTCCTTAAAATTATCAGTAAAATTATTTATTTCACAGATCGTAAGCACATATTTTGATGGTGTATAAAATTATTATGTATGGAGACTTATACACTTACATACATATGTGTCTCCGACCATTGAAATTTTTTTAACGAGCAAAGAGTCACTAAAAGTATTTAAATATTTTTAAGTTTTAATTTTAATTTGGAGTCATATGTGGTTTGCATCATCTTTTTAAAAATTATTGCGGTTATGACAAGCTCTGCCTTCTAAATAAAATATTTTATGCTAAAAAAAAAAAATTATGCTATGTTTGTCATCATGAATCGTCTGGCAATACGCATACCACACAGATAAAATTCGGATACTAGTTGATCACCATGAACTTAAAATGCCCGGGTGTATGTCCATTTGAATACAACGAGCTCGGGGACAATACAGTAAGAGACTTTAGTTTACTAAAAAATTATGTTGTATCAATGTAATCCTGTCTGACCATTTTAAATAACTAATACTTTTTAAAATATGGCATTTTACATTACTTACCAGTAAAAACTCCCCAGCCTTTTCCTCGTACTCGGTCACCTTCTTGATGTTGCCGGCCTTTGAGTAAAATTCGGCAATCAGTTTGGCGTTCCAGAACATATAGGCATTCAGGTCGACGGGTACAATACTGGTGGTACTAAGGTTGCTAAGATTTCCAGCGTTGGTTCCGTCCTCAGAGATGAACCAGCGGGTGCTAAAGTCCATTCCAGATTCGGCCGCCGCCTTGATCTGGGTGTAGAGATGCTCCTTTTTTTCGTCTGAGTCGAACGAAGCGGCGGTATTAACATCTTCACTGTAGGACTCTGGCCGCGGACCCTCCGACGAATCGCTGTAGATGCACAGGGTGTGATTGTTGACGGACACCGCACGGTTGTTTAAGAAGAAATTGAACTCGTGCTCCAAAAGCTTCAAGGCGTTAATGGCAAACTGGTCATCGTTGGTGAAGTCCACATACGACTTGACCATCCCAGTCAGAAGTGGCGGCTGGGAGCGACCATGATAGTACACTCGTCCGCCGTTCGGAATGAAGCCGATCCTTTCGACGATAGACAGGAAGTTCTCAATCATGCCGCGGGCGGTGGAGTACATCTCGCTATAGAGAAGTCCCCTGATGATCCAGTAGGAATCCCAGTAGTAGAATTCGATGAAACGACCTCCGGGCACAATCACCGGATTAGGCACTGGGATGATAGAGTAGTTCTGAGGGCTCTTTATCACATCGTCCTTCATTTTGCGGCCCAGTTTCTTCCAAATGTCATTTAGCTGCACACCCCACTGCTTTAGATCTGGGTCAGAAATGCGATCTACGAAGCTGGGATTCTCTTTCCAGTCCGAGGGCACCCAAGATTCTAGTTCGGTGCCTTTGTCACCGAAGTATTCCTGCAAAATGATTTACATTTTTAATTTCCTAACTGCGAAATCACTGCCGATTAAAGTCTACTTACTTTGATGAAATTCTTCAGGTCTTCTCTGCTGGGCTGTTGGTTTTTGGCCTCCATCATCGCATTAAAGTCCTCAAGGGTCTTATCGGGCGAGTACTTAAGTGTCATGTCCACAAACGTTTTTGAATCCGAGAACAGTGGAGGTTTAGCCATTTGGATGGTGTGCAGTAGAGTGCCATTGCAGTAGATTTTACTGGAAAAGAAGAAAATAAAATTTTACATTTCGGATTTCTGTATTTGATAAAAAAATACATTTTGGATTTAAAAATGCTTTCCATATGTGAAAATAAAACGCCTTCATTACTAAAACAAATAGCTCTTAAATTGAAATACTCTATAAAATATTTAAATTTATATTTCAATGATTTTTTTGTCAATATTTGCTCAGCCGAAAAATCCCGGATGATGCTTACGTAAGTTAGAGCATAAAAATCATTTGTTGCCATATAGTACACACACGGACGGCACTAATTAGTGCAAATAATTCACAAGTTAAATGGATATAAAACCACTACAGCCCGCGTATCCAGGTGGTGCTGGTTAAGTGAACACCTGTCTAAAGCATCGATGAATCGGTTCTCTTGATCAGATACGGCTAAAGCTAATGCACGAATAAGCAACACGTCACGTTTATGGGCACTGGGAAAGGAAAGCATTCGAGCTTAAAACTTGGCAATACTTTGCATACATGAACACTCCAGACCCAGCAATTAAAGATCAGAGTCCGGAAGTCTTCGGAAAACTTACCAACTTTCAAACGGATCCACTGTCGACTCAATAGTGGCAATGGAATTGTCATTGTCTATGTCGAGATCTGGGGAACCATAGGACTTTGCCTGCGACAGAGCTGCCAGGCAACTCCAGCTCACAAGGAGCAATTTGATATTCGCTGACTTTAACATAGCACTTAATTAAATCCTTTCACTTATTTGCTGTTAATTTATCTGTTTTTCAATCTGCTGGGATGACAATACAAAATGTTGCGTTGCTGAGGTATATCCTTTCGCTTACAGGATATGCTAGCGAGCCCCAAATTCGATCTGAGCACAAGCACAACCAGCGCCAGTCAGCGCAAGAATACTTCTAACTGTTTCGCTCGATTCCGTTTTTATAAAACCAAATTAATCTACGAATACGACGTAGAGTGCGACGACGAGCGATCGGCAACCGAACGATCATCGGGTGGGGCAAGGGCAGATCTGGAGCCAAGTCATTGGATCCGATCCGATGGGGCGGAGTGGGGTCGGTTGGGTCGTTCGATCGGCGGTCGTGCTTTGGGGGCGCGTTCGGTCTATTTTTAAAATCGTCAAAGTGGCCCCAAACGTATTTGTCGGGTTCACTTGCTAAAAGTCTCGTGAACATATCGTCATTCATCTCGTACTGGCTAACTGGATCGGTCTATTCATATCTGTTCGAACTCTTTGGTTATTTTGCCTAGAGTTTCCCAGTGGCAAAGGGCAAGAGATTGGGTTTTTGGCACACCCATTCCATTTGCATACAGTTAACTGGCGAATGAATATTCATTATGATGCCGCAGAGCCTTGAAATATTTATTTTTCACTATATATTCATAACTATAACACTTATTAAATGTTGTTTCACCCGGCACCCGCATCAGTTGATGGATTTAAGCTCGTATATTTAAAGCTATACGTTTGCCTTGTTTTGTTGGAGAAGGTCCCACTGTAATGCCAAGGTATTTCTGATAAGAAGCAATTTTGGGGATTTTAGGCCTAGTTTAAATGGTAATTAGCAACGCTCCACTTACGATAAAGAATGAAAAACTGTGCTAAATTTTCTTGGAATTTAAGTAACCATTTATCCAGAAATTTAATTAGTGTACGCTGATACCCCAGGAATTTGCATAGTTATTCAGAGCTAAAATTAATCTTACTGGGTCAGATTTAAGGTTACCAAACGGAAGACATAAAAATGGCATTTGCCTACGATTTATTTATATCCACCAAATTCCACTTTATGATAAATGTTTAAGTCTATTATTAGAGAGGGTTATGTGTTAGTGACACGTGTCTGGCCCCAAATAATGGACCGGAATTGCGCCGTTTCGCATGAATGTCGCTATATGTAGTGTGGACTTAACGAATCTTAATTGAACTGATTTGCTAAATAAGGATTGCTTTTAAGAGATCAACAAATGGACATATATGTAATAGAGATAATAATTTGAGGCGCAAAAGATGGTTATCGACTTGAATTAAAATACCATAAAAAGCAAAAATAAATCGGTCTATCTATTTTTATTCTTTCATTGAAAACCAGTAAAGCACACACACGGTAAAAGTAAAGTATTACACAATATATCTTATGGAACATTAAGCAACATCAAGTGTATGATGAATTACTTTTATCGGGTATCATCACAGTGTGATGATATAACACCAGCTACACATATCATCTACGGCTCGGAAAACAAAGGAAATCCAAATAAACGGAACAATTGTGCAATTTAAATTGAGCCTTACGGGAGTGAGAACCAGAATGAGAACGATTCCCCGAGAATCTCATTGTTATGCCTTCTGTGACGACAGCAACTAGCAGGTGCGACTAAATCATTGATTTGGCACGTCACAAGCAGTTAACATTTTATGATTTCATTAGCAAAGCGATTCAGCATTTAAAAGTTCTCCTCTCTCTTCGATCGCAGTTAGATTATACATTGTCTAGCTTACTGCAGGTCTTCATGAAAAATGTACTTAATTGTTCCGCCCTGATCTAGCTCAACATACTAAACCAATATTTGTTCGAACTGAGGGTCTTTTTTAACAAAAGTTCAGAAAACCGTGGATGACGAATTGACTGAGTTACGTGCTAAGCGTTTCCAAATAGTTAACAATTAAACTCAAAACATTATTGTATCAACAATGTTTGTTTTAAATTCCCCTGACGCTGACTTCCGATTCCGCATAGCTTGAAATAGCACAATTCCGACTAAATTCCGTATAAACCATAAAAATGCAGCAAGACCCCTAAAGATGATCTCAGAATTATGGAATAACTATTATTTAAACAGCATTTAAAATGCGTGAGGAAAATAATTAAATATCTTGAATGGTCGTTCACACTCTCACCATTCAATTGGGTTATTATGCTCTTGACTTTATAAAACGTTTATATAGATCTTTATTATAATCGTCATTGCCGTCATCGGTAGAAGCGATAAGTGCCTCAGGTGACGTCTTTGTTCGAATACAATACCAAAACGCGCTTTACAACTCTGTTGATTTCGATTTTTGAACTCCGCTCAAAAACAAAACTTTGCCAAAATCATTCAAGGACAATATTAATCCATTTGTGGGGCATTCAACGCGTTTGTATAATTGCCGTTTAACTTAATCGCTCTACTACATGGCTAGTATAATAAAGCACGGTCCGTTTGATGGCTGAACCAAAAATTTCAAACAAATACCTGATACGTTTAGTATGACATGTTTAAACCCGAGAGGAAAACGAAGAAACACATACAAAAACTGGAATTGTCATTAAGAAGCCTGCAACAGGCTCAATTATCTTGTTTTAGAGTCTGTGCGATTTGCTTTGATTAACGGTTCAAATACCGATACAAAGACCTTCAAAAAGGTTATTGAATCGCAAAAAGGTTTGCAATTAACAAAAAAAAAAGGCTTTGTATCAAACTACAACTTTTAGCTAAAGATCTGGATCTAATTAAATAAAACCTTTTTGACCTAGTAACTCAATATACACTTGAGCCTGAAATCTTGAGTGGAAAATAAAGGTTTATCGATTGAACCAAGGCATTGAATTTAATCTAAAAGATTACTGGAGGTGGAGTAATCAATAAATATTCTTGATCAAGAGAAGTGTTTATTGCATTGATGTAGAAAATTGATCGTGAAATAATCCACTCATGAGAGGTGGGTGATATAATTTCTCTTCAAGTACTGCGCCATTCAAGGCTCCTTATCAAAGAACCATCAAGTAGTGCATTATTCATTACAACCAAACTTGTTTTTGGTCAAGTTCAAGGAAACTGAGAAATTACTTTGCTGAGCAGTCAGAAGCTTCAAGTAAATGTAGACACATTCGTCAAGTAAAAAAAAAAGCCAAATGATATTGATATCGATTAGATTGAACAGGCTTAACAGCAGCAAGTACATCTTCCAGTCTGACTGGATCGGCTTTTTGAACTGCACATTTTGTATTATTCATATTTGCGCTTTAATTAGACGCAATTATTTTTAAAAATTAAAAGGTAGATTTTGCAGTGGAAAAACGAGACCCGAAAAAATAATACTAGTCGAGTTTTGATATTTTATTCAATGTAAGATGTCTGTCCGCCAGTCCATTTTAAGTGTTAAGTACCCGGGGACCACAGATCACTGACACCGCAGGTCGGTGACTAAAAATAACGCGACTCGACGTTTGCATCGCGATTAAGCTCAGGGAAAATATCAGCAAATATCAGGGAAAATGTCAGCAACCACAACAATTTGTATTGAAAATTATAATTTAATTGCATTTGTATATTCAGCTCGCGGTTTCTGTTTTTCTGCGCCCTGGGAGTTTCATGCCAATTTAAATTCACTAAATTACAATTGTTATGTTATTTTTGCGTTTTCAAATTAAATTCCAGTTTGTTTTCGCATTTCACACACTTTTATTATTGGCAATTCGCTTTGTTGAGTACGAGTTTTTATAACTCGCTCACTATCTCTACTGTGCACTTGATTACTATATATGCCTGGATTATATATACTCTCGGGTTCTAATCAAAAACTGTACTCGACAGCACCTCGCCGATGTTGAGCGATTGAAGGCAACAATCCGACTGCCTCAAGCCAAGTGCTGGAGATTTAAATTTAAATAAGATTTTCGCAAAGGTTTGACCAGAACAGAGTTTCCAAGCGTTCCCTTGGATAAGAGGAAGCTGCGGATAGCACTGGAAATGTTATTTGGAAATCCATTAGGTCTGAGTTTTCTGTTTGCCTTATTAGTTAATTGTTAATAAATAATAATTTTAATAATGTATAAAGGAATAAGGCAAGTCGTAAATAATATTGCAAATAATATTGTGGCAAAATTTCGTATTACTTGACAAAGCGAGGAAATCGTAAATACTTTAGCCTGCTTTTATAAAGCTTTTCTCGTCTAAAATCTAAAAAATGGAGCGATAAGATAGAATCTCCATGGAACGAATTGTCGTGGAATTTTAGACCCCATGATTTATCAATAAAGTATGATTGTTGACAAAAACTATAATAAATTATTTTTGATTTGACAAATATTATTTACTAAGAAGATAGGCAGGAAATTGGCTTTTTAATGTTGAACGAATCACAACCAGTCGATCTTACTGATATATGGTTTTCGGAATGGAAATTTAACCATTGGTAAATAAAAATAATAAAATATTAATTTTAATAGGAATTTAAATAGCATTGAAATAATTTTCATTTTTGAATCACACAATATTTTTATACCCTTGCAGAGGGTATTATAATTTTGGTCAAAAGTAAAGGAGACATCTCCGACCCTATAAAGTATATATATTCTTGATCAGGATCGCGTCCTGAGTTGATATAAGCATGTCCGTTTGTCCGTCTGTCTGTCCGTCTGTCTGTTTCTACGCTAACTAGTCTCTCAGTTTTAAAGATTTCGAATAGAAACTTTGCACACACCCTTCTTTCCTTTGCACGCAGTATATAAGTCCTATAGCTGCCATATAACTGATCGATTGAAAATGCCATAACTTTGGTGTTTTTAAAGTTAGGAAGTTGGGATTTTCTATGGGCTTTATAAGGATCGGCCGACTATATCCTATAGCCGCCATATAACTGATTGATCGGAAATGCCATAACTTTGGTGTTTGTAAATTTAGGAGGTTGGGATTATCTTTATTTTTAGCCAATCAATCCGTCCTACCAAATTTCATAAGGATTGGCCGACTATATCCAATAGCTGTCATATAACTGCCATAACTTTGGTGTTTTTAAAGTTAGGAAGTTGGGATTTTTTATGAGTATTAAGAATGCATCATATGAATAATTTGGAAGAATATAATTTACAGAATATTCTGCAAGGGTATATCAACTTCGGCTCCGTCCGA